CTCAAAACCCTGAGAGAGACAAACAGAAATCGAGAGAGAGAGAGATTGAGAGATCGAGAGAAAGAAAGAGAGATATCGAGAGAGAGAGAGATTGAGAGATCGAGAGAAAGAGAGAACTTGAGAGGCTGAGAGATACGGCGAAGGAGCTTGAAGGAGAGAGAGATCAAGCTGAGAAAAGACGTGTTAGTTTTTTTTTTTTAGGTTTGTGGGTACTGTTTTACAAAAAAAAAAAAGTTTGTGGGTACCCATTCATTCTATTGGGCTACCCATATAATATAGTTTTTTTAATTATGTAAGGGTAAAAATCCATATTAAGCCCATTTATTTATTGAGAGGATAAAAACACAATCCAATGTTTGTGGGTTTAGGTACCCTCATGGGTAATTGCCCAAGTTAACATCCCTAATCGTGATTATCCTCACATTAGTGAAACCATAAAACGTGAATAATAGTCAAAATAAGAAGTTTATGGGCTTGGTCGCCCATCAGAACTTAGGAACCGGAGTTTTAACAAATTAAACCAAATCCAGAATGAGCCAAAATAAAAATTAGATTTTTAAGGAGAAGAAAAAAAAGGCTGTTGTTTCTTCATACGTTTCGTTTCGTTCCTCCAATGCTAATTCGCAAATAACAACACAGAACACACAAATTACCAATTTACTTTCTTCTTTAATCGCAAACAAAAACCCTAATTGCCTCCTCCGGATTCCATAAATTTTCCTTCTCTCTTTTCCTTCTTATATTCCCAGTATCGGCCTCGTGTGGGTGGAAATCCATTGATTTCGATTGCATCTACGAGAATCCTTGTTTCCTGCGTTTAGACGAACGATCTCCTTCCTGAATTAGGGTTTTGGTGTCCGCTCTCTCGCCATTCTCCATCCTTGCTGTATCGGGTTAGGGATAATTTGGCTGATTTTTTAGAAGGATAATAAGAGGACAGAGAGGCATATGCGTAGGTGTTAGGGTTTCTTGTTTTCGTTTCATCACTTAGTGTTGTTGCTTAGGCATGGAACCGGCTTATAGGTTGTTGCGATGAGAGTGTTGAAATAATTGTCCTTTTGCCCATCTGTGTGAGAGATGGAAGTCTAGAAGGTTTTTTTATTATCTGAAGATTGAATCTGAGTTTAAGAAGGCGAGGGATTTGGATTTCCTCTCCTGGCTTCATAGTGGTAGATTGTTAGATGCTAGGATAGGTTTATTAGAACTTTGCTTCATTTCGTGACAAGGGAAGAGAAAAAAAAAGAGAAGTATTGTTATTTGTGGGAGGGTGAAGAAGGTTAGTGTGAATCTGCCCTTTATCTGATGAGGTACGGCTTTCATAATGGACAAAGGTGAACCCTCTTTAGTTCCGGAATGGTTGAGAAGTTCAGGGCATGCTTCTGGTGGTGGGAGTTCAAACCATCTCTTTATATCATCTTTTCCTCACTCAGGTATTTTCGCGTCCTATAGCGTCTGAGTGATAGTTTGTTGTTTGTCGGAATAAGGTGATTTTAACTGTTTCGTATCTTTTTGATTAGATTCTGCATCTTTACCACTTAATAGTCGGAATAAGAACTCTAGGGGCAAAAGTGATGTTGATTCAATTCGGTCTCCTTTTCTGGATCGATCTTCTTCTACTAATTCAAGAAGGAGCTCTAGTAATGGGTCTGCTAAACATCCGTATAGTAGTTTCAGTTTCAATAGGAGTCAAAGGGATAAGGACCGCAGCAGGGACAAAGATAGGGTAGATCCATGGGACCTTGACACTTCTATGCCTCTCAGAAATATCTTAACCGTTAGGGATCAGGACCAATTGCGGCGATCACATTCGATGGTGACAAGGAAACAGGCCGACCACTTGTCTCGAGGGTTTTCTATGGGCTTGAAAAATGGTGGCAGTAGTAGCAGTTACAATGGAAATGGTATACGTAATGGACCTAGCATGGGAAATAGCTTTCTGAGGACTGGTTTTGATAAGGATTTTCCTTCGCTTGGAGCTGAAGAGAAGCATGATGGGCAAGATGTTGTTCGGGTCTCATCTCCTGGTCTAGGCTCAGCTGTTCAGAGCTTGCCAGTTAGTAACTCTGCTTTGATTGGTGGGGAAGGTTGGACATCAGCTCTGGCGGAGGTTCCCAATGTCATCGAGAAGGCTTGCGCTGGGCCATTAACTTCTCTGAAAGCTAATGTTGTTGGGATAGGATCTTCAACTGGTCTTAACATGGCTGAAGCATTGGTGCAGGCTCCAGCAAGAACTCTTACCCCTCCACAAGTATAATTTGTGTCATTGTCGTTTGGGTTTTTTCTACACTTTCCTTTTCTGCTTATCTAAGTAAGATAATTAACCATTGTTTTCAGGGATCTGTGCAGACTCAAAGACTTGAGGGCTTGGCAATCAAGCAGTCAAGGCAGTTGATTCCGGTTGTGCCGTCAGCACCAAAGTGCTCGGTAAGTGTTCCCTTAGTTATTATTATTATTATTATTATTATTATTATTATTATTATTATTATTATTATTATTATTATTATTATTATCTCATCCTTCATTCTTTTTATTCATTCAATATCTGTTTTATTCAATTTGTCAGATTCTTAACTCTTCTGATAAATCCAAGACTAAGCAAATGGTTCGAGCTGGTGAAATTTGTCTTGCTCCTTCAAAAAACTCCCAACAGCCGCCCTCTGTCCTGCTCGGGAATGTTCAGTCTAATTCTAATGGTCAAATTAAATCAGAGAAGAAGCTTTTGGTTCTCAAACCTGCTAGGGAAACGGGTGTCGCTGCTGTTAAAGAATCTAGAAGTCCTAGTAGTAATCTAGACAGCAGACCCAACTCTACTCAGCCAATGAACACTGCTCAATCAACACAAACTGCTACTGTGAGAAGTACAAATAGCCCAAAGGAGCCCAAGGGAATTACTTCCTTCCCCATGACATCTGGTCAAACCATTGAAAAGAAACTCTCCTTAACTCAAACTCAGAGCAGGCACGCATTTTACAGTGCTCTGAAGCAGAAAACTATATCAACAAACGTGTCTACCGATCCTGTTAACCCTTCACCCACTTGCGTCTCTTCTTCCGTTGAGGAAAGGTTCAACAGGCCAAAGGAACTTGTAGCTAGTGACCCGTCAAGTTCGCAGGTTACAAGAGGTCTTGAAGTCACTCAAAGGAATACTATTAGCTTTGAGGCAGCAGACACTCCAGATGAAGAAGAAGCGGAGTTTCTCAGATCGCTTGGCTGGGATGAAAACAATGGCGAAGTTGAAGCTCTTACAGAGGAGGAGATAAAAGATTTTAATGAACAGGTAAAAAACATAACTAGGCTCTTGTGACTCTGTCTTGTCATCTTCTAAAATAATAGAAAAGAGTAACAGTGGTTGTTTATTTGCTTTGTTCAAACAGTACAATAAGCTGAGGCCGTCAGTTCCGCAGAAACTGTCCATCAAACAAGAGCAAGAGAGGGTGTAACTTAGGACCTTCGAAACCAAACTTACAAACTGAAAAAATTACTGGTTTTAACACCACGGAACATAGTTTCTAATTTCTTTTTGTTTCTCTTTGAAAAAAACTGGCTACTACTTTTGGCAATAGAAGAGGAGAAAGGCAGGAGGGCTTTTTGGATTTTGCTTGATGATTTTTTAAAATTGTGCGAAGAAGCTTATCATGAGGCCATGAGGCGTAAAGCCCTCTTCAGACTTTTGCAGATCTTTGGACAGGAAAAATAGCTCAGCTCTCACACATAACTTTCATGCCATCCTATTTGATTTCAAATGTTGGACAAGGATAGGAGAAGATTATAAAAATACTAGAATGAATTTTTTATAATTAGGATAAATTCCTTTTTCTACTCAACTACACTTTTCAATAACCTATTCGTGAATACAAAGTTCTAACTTCGCAGAGATGTAAACTCTATATACAACGCTGAGATTTTAGTATTTCCTACGAACACTTAAATCTTAGAGATTTTAGTATTTCCTACGAACACTTAAATCTTAGAGAAAATTACTAGAATATTATAGAAAAGTTGGTATATTACTAGAATAACATACATTTTCTAAAATTACTAGAATATTTTTAGACTCCTAGTAAATTACAATAGAGAAAATTACTAGAATGATAAACAAAAGCTTGTATATGACTAGAATAGTATATATTTTCTAAAAATTACTAGAATGTTTTTAGACTCCTAGTAAATTACAATAAACACCCTTGTTTAATTTTGTTACTATTGATACAAATTTTAATTATTAAATCCACATCATAATTTGACAATTCACGTCACTAACTAATTTGTGTCATCAGTTACACTGGAAAATCAACAGTCCCATATCTCCTGTGAACAAAAAAAAAGTCTTAATGTTACATTCTTCTCCGTCACAACTATCGTTAAACCCTAACCGATTACGAAATCCCGAAATCATCTCCGTCACAACTAATACTCTCGTTTCAAACAGTGTTTCCGATATCTTAAATCATCTTCGTCGACCTCGTTAAACCCTAACCGTCTCCGATATCATCTTCGTCGACATCCTCT